TTCTGGCTACAGATCATTTAAAAAGGTATCGTCTCCTAAAATTTTTAAAGTCCAACAAGAGCAATCCACAGACTGTTTCCACTTCTGAGAGCTGTGTTCAGCTTGGCCATGGGAGTCATCTGCCATCTAGTACCAGTGCAGTAACTGCTGTTCGTCGTGCTCAAGGCAAGACAGGTGCCTCTTGGAAAGGAAATACCCCAACAGTGCTGCTTCAGGTCTCTCTTCCATATCGTAAATGGTTGAGGTGGAAACCGATGCCTGAAGAATATTTGCAACGTATTTCTGATGACCTCTGGAATGGGCATCAATTAGATATTAGCTGGGAGCAAATCCGTGAAAAATTTAGGTCCCTTAAAAGGCAGTTTGGACAAGCCAAGAAAGGTGAACTCGGTGGCCAAAATTGGGAGCACTACTGGTTGATGGTTTACATTTTTGATGAGGATCTTGCGTCATCAAATATGACACTCTGTCCAGAAGGTATATACACTGCATTGTATTAAGTTTCATTTAATAATTTGGTTTCTGTAAGGATAGAAGACTTAGTTAAAACCTTTATAAATATGTTGTAGGGTTCAACCTCCACGATCAAGACCAGCCTGTTCCCAATGAGGCTGCTAGTGTCCCACTGCAGTTGTCGCCTGCTGTAACTGAAGCTGCCCAGTCTGTCCCCATTATTGGGGCTGCTGCTCCATCCCAAGAAGTGGCACTAACTAAAGCTGCTACTGTCAATTCTGGTATGTCACTTGCTACACTTTCAATATATTTTCCAAATTCACTTTTCTTCAAAAAAAAATAAAAAAATGATGTTACTCAATAGTAAATGTGTATTGCAGGATCCAACCTTATTCGGCAAGTTAGCGCCAGTGATTCTGGTCAATGTGAGTCTGTGCTTCTCTCTGCTTTGGACTGGGATAATTTATTGCAATCTGGAAGTGCGCTTTGTGCAAGTCCTGGTATGTAACTGTATGTTAATGTTTTCCATCCATAGTTAATGTGGATTATATGTTGGTTCATGAAAATTATTCTACATTCCAGTGTTGAAGCCTCAACAAGGTATATTGCCTGATAAGTCACTTGGTGACAATGGAAATCTCTCTGACCTAGAAATGCATGATATTCTAGCTTTGGATGATGGTATACTTCCTCCAGACTTCAGCAGTACTTTAATGACAACTGGAAGAGGTAACTGAAAGTCAAGTCCTTATTAAGTTTGCTTTATTTTGTATGTTTATTTTACTTTTGGTTAATCACTGTGTTGGTTTAGCAACTCCAAGCATCACCAACAACTTACTCGTGCGATCACCTGCTCCAAAGAAAAATAAGAGGCCAACATACATAAGTAAGTTGTGTTCTTGCTGATTTAAATAGAACATACATTTTGTAGCCCAAGAATATTATTTTTGTTGTGTTTTGGCAGTTCCTCCTAGATCTCCTGCTAAGCAGCGTACCCCCAAGAGAAAACAATCCAAGTCTAGCCTCCAGTGGGACTCAGAAGAAACCACAGCCTTTGTTCAACTTTGCGTTCTAAATAAGGAAAGATTAGTAGTTTCTAATATTTCCAACACTACTTGGAAAGACTTAGCAACAGGACTCCAGCTGTTTAATGTTGAAAAGTCATGGCAATTATGCCGTGATAAGTTTCAACAAATGCACTCTTTCTTTGAGGGAACATTATTACCCTGTGGAGGTATATTAGGATCCAGAAAGTGGACCCATTATGAAGATTTTTGTCA